AAGACTTTTGAAAGAAGAGTTTTGATAGAAACTTAATTATACAAGTCGAGAAAAATCCCTTCATTTCTGCTCAAAAACTGACTGAGCAAGCTGAAAAGAATTATGGAATCAAATTACCCCATCAGACTATCAGAAATTGTATCCGAGACCAGGGATTTCAAGGACGACTTGTGCGTAATAAACCATATTTGAGTAAGAAGCACATGAAAAGAAGATTTGGAGTTTGCTAAGAAGTTCAAAAACATGCCGTTAAGTTTCTGGAAAAAGATGCTGTGGAGCGACAAATCAAAATTCAACTTAAAGTCATCTGATGGTGCCCAAAAATTTTAGAGAATAGCCGGAGAAGCCTACAAATTAAGCTGCGTGAGAGGAACTGTCAAGTTTAGTGGTGGTAACGTGATGGTATGGGGTTCAATGGCTTGGAAGGGTGTCGGAAAACTCCAATTTATTGATACTATAATGGATCAGGTGCAATACAGAAACATATTAAAGCAAAATTTGAAGTCATCTGCTCGAAAATATTGGCTAGGATCTGATTTTACATTTCAGCAAGATAACGATTCCAAGGATAGTGCCACTAAAACCAAGGAGTAGTTTGCTAAAAATAATGTTGAGGTCTTGGATTGGCCCGCACAATCACTGGACCTTAATCCCATTGAACATTTGTGGGAAATTTTAGACCAAAAAAATTGAGATTGTTCATTTTCCAAAAAAGATAATCTCAAAGTGGCAATTGAAGAAGCCTGGGAAAAGATTCAACCAGAAAAAGCAAAATCTTTAGTCGAATCAATGCCTAGACATCTAGAAGCTGAAATCCAAGTAAAGGGAGGCCCTACAAAGTAATTAAATAATTGTTAGGTTATTCAATAATTTATTATGAAACAAAAAATGTGTTTGGTCGAATATTTTTTTGACAATAAAAAAACGACCTAAGTTTCTTTGTTTTGGGACTGAAAACTTTGTGGTTCATATTTTATTCTAAAATAAATAAAATCTATTTGAAAACATGTTTTTTTATTTTTATTAATCTTGAGTTTATCAAAAAAGTCTAAATTTACGAAAATACAGCACTTTTTTTAGGAAAAATATTTAAAAAAATGTTTGGTTGGATAATTTTTTGAGACACTGTATGTCCGTAAAACAAAATTTTTTTAAATTCACATAAAAGAATTAACTTAATAATGGTTTTGCTGACAAACATGGAAACATACATAAACTTAAATGTTCTAAAAAATCTGTCCAGTTTTTTGCAACTAAATATTATTTCTGTGGTCAGTAAACAAGAGTGATTGTGCCTGCTTCCCGACCGAACCTGTATGTATATATATATATATATATATATATATATATATATATATATATATATATATATATATATATATATATATATATATATATATATATATATATATATATATAGTGATGTGCCGATTAATCGGCATTGACATCGGCTTAATCGGCCACTTTTTGTACAATCGGAATCAGTATTGGCATCGGCCTCTTTTACCAATTTCCAACAAGTGGCATTTTAATATTTTTATTGTGCATTATTATAATAATTAAACAATAAGTAAACTAAACTTTATGCATCACTTAGAATTTTTTGAATAAATTTTTATTTTGACTTTGTTTACATCCAAAAGCTTTAGAAGTAACCTATTTTTAGCATTGTTATCTATATTTTAAAAATTCTTTTTTACTCCCAACAAAGCTGCAAACAACCACTATCAAGTTGGTAGTTGCTAGAAAAAAAGAGTAGAGTTATAGAGCAATGAAATGGTTGACAGAAGACTTAAAAAGTTGAAAGTTGTTGCAGTCAAGAAAACATGAAGATGGGACAGAGTTCAGAAGGGTTAAAGTGCTGGAAAATAAGCTAGATAAATAAAAGTTTTTGGAGCATGAAAAGACAGATACACTAAAATAATGAGACTTTAATGAATGATAAGTGAGGTGAGAATGAATTTTGGTTGATGGAGCTAGAGATGAAAGATCCTTTGAGCAGTAACCATGATAGTATTTGTAGAAAAGAGAAAGAAATACAATTTTACAATTTGTATAGTTGTATTTCTTTCTCTAAAGTTTATATTGTGATGGGAAAGAGGCTCAAGTTTAGCAGATAGACCAGGTCCAACTCTGTTTAATAATTAGTTAATTCATTGGTATCGCCATCGGTATCGGCCTTTTTCCCATCCATCAGCATTTGCCAAAAAAGTGATACAGGTACATCACTAATATATATAAATATATATATATATATATATATATATATATATATATATATATATATATATATATATATATATATATATATATATATATATATATATATATATATATATACCGAAATACCGTATAATACAGATACCGAATACTGATACCGAAAAATATTTTATTATGACTTTTGATCATGAATAACTACTAAACAAAAAAAAGTAAATTGAATTTTTTTTGCATGTAGAAAATTTTTTTATCATCTCACTTTGATACAGGCAATTAGCAGATATCAGATCAAAAAATGTTGTTTTATATTTTTGAATAATATGGCTGATGATTGGCAAATAGCATCATAAAACTTGGAGTTTCATTTTAAAGTTGTATTTTTTCATTTAAATTATTTTAATATAATTCAATTTATTTTGTAAAAAAATATCACTCTTAAGCAGACAGAAGTTGTTTTTCCTACAGAATACAACATATTGATAAATAAACCAAAAAATTATTCTTGTACTATAGATTGTACACATTCATTATTAGAAAACATTTTAATTCAAAAAACAACATACATAAACATAAAAATACAAAAAAGTTGCATATTTTCCTACTTTGTAATATTTTTTGATTTAAAACAGCTTCTATTCTTTGCTGCATCGGAGCATTATCTTATGATACCATGCTTTCATTACAGTTTTTCCTTAGTTAAGTTGGGTTCTGTTAAAAAGATTCTGCTTTTTAATTTTTTACTTAACAGTTTTTAATGAAATTAGTCAATGAATTGCCTAGACACAGGACAATAATATTAATTGTATCTACTTGGAGGCATGTCTTGACAATTTTTGCCTGATGGCCTCACTACATCATCCAAAACATAACAAAATAAATTTGTTGCAAAGAGTGCAGATAAGAACAAACATAAAATAAAATGTTTAATCAGCTGATTCCAATGTTGAGCTAAACCATTGTCATTGCAGCTGCTTTTGTCTTTTCACATATCCCAGGTCTTGTTATGAGATTTTGTTACATAACAGAAAAGCATAACGTGAGTAAATGTAACTTTACTCAATAAAGATACTTACATTGTTAAAAGTTTAATAACATCAGTTGTGTATTTTAAAGTGCTGCATTAGAATTAAATTTAATTTGAAACTATATTTTTAATGTTCAAACATTAAAGGTCTTTATTTTTGCAAAATATCCTGAAATTAAACAATATTGTTCTAAAAGAAATTATAATTGAAATTTAAATGTTGTTTGAAAAAAAAAAAGTTTCTTATTTTAAAATCTTATTCTTATTTAAACTTTTTTTTTCTTTAAAACATTCATCTTAGGTTATTTATTTTTTTCCTTTCTTTAAAACATTCATCTTAGGTTATTTATTTTTTTCTTTCTTTAAATCATTCATCTTAGGTTATTTATTTTTTTCTTTCTTTAAAACATTCATCTTAGGTTATTTATTTATTTTTCTTTCTTTAAAACATTCATTATAGGTCATTTTTTTTTTCCTTTAAAACATTTGTCTTAGGTTATTTATTTTTTTTCTTTCTTTAAAACATTCATCTTAGGTTTTTTTTTTTTTCTTCAAAATATCTTAGCTTATTTATTTTTAATTAGCAGACACTTGTTTATGGTTGAGTTTCTTAAAGGGATTTAAATGTACTTACAGAGCTTTTTAAACAAATTAACACAACTACACGATTAGATTGGGTTTTCTCCTTTTATAAAAAAATTGTTAGCGCTACCTAAAATATTTTAGTTGAACTGGAGACTCTTGACAAAATAAAAATTGTAATTAAACCAAGATTTCCGTTTTTCTGCTTTGCTTTTTTTTTATTCCATTAAAATATTTCGTTTTCATTTTTTGTGAAACCTAATATATTTTTACTATTTCTTTCTAAATCAAAAAAATTAACATCTTTTAAAATTTATGTATCTTATATTTATAGCTAATATTAGTTTTGTTTTTAAAATAAAATAAATATAAGTTAGGCTTTTGAAGCGTTTACTTATTGATTTTTATTCAGTTGTAAAAGTTTGGTTTGTTTTATAAAATATATAATAACATTCTTCTATATGAAAATTAACTGCAAATGGAAAACCCAAACATTTATAACTTGAGTTAAAGTTATTTGAAAGAACTTTTTTGTTTTGATGTCATTTATTTTGTTTTGACGTCATATATTAACTACAAAAGCACATTAATCAGACCATTATTTAAAAAAAAAAAAAAAAAAAAAAATTAAAGAGCTGGAACTTACCTTAGAGAAAAAAAAAAAGTTTTTTGCTAATATCTTGCTAAATAATTTGCTAAATAATTTGTTCTGAAAAGTTTAATTAACATGAAACTTATTTTTCAAGGATTTTTTATAATATGAACACAACTTGTCTTGGCACTTAGGGATCACTTTAATGGTCACAAAGTAAATAAAAACTATTAACCTTTTGTTGTTAACATTTTGGCTTAACAAAATCTTTGCATACTACTCATAAACTAGTTAATCATTTCTAATCGATGTTCAGTCTATGATCAATTCAAAAAATTAATAATAAAGAAAAAACTTTTGTTAAAAAACAATTTCAAAACCAAAATCCAAAATTGTGTAACGCTTCTTAACAAGGCCTGATATCCAATAGTCGTTTATACACAAAAAAAGTTGTTAAGTCAAGAATTATTAGTTCGTTTTTTTTCCATTCTTGAAAACTTTTTTTAGTGTCTTATGATAAATGTATTAACAATATTAACATTTTTTGTAAATTTTGTAAGGCCTTATGTTTTGTATTGATAGGCAGCGGAAGAAGATCAGGACGAAATGTTGGGAAAGAATCTTCTGCTAAAAAATTAGCATTAGAAAAGTTAAAGTAAGGTAAATTTTTGTAGGTGAAAATTAATTGAATTATATTTATTATTATTAATGATATTTTTTTATGTTATGACAATAGCATTAAGTTTTTTATACAATTAAATATTATAGTTTGATATATTTGAGTTAAATAAACTAGCATAATAAAAATAGTAATTTAGGTAAAGCAAACTTTAAAATACACAAGATGAACATTTTTATTAGAAAATAAGTAGTAATCAATTTTTTTAAATACACCGCGGAGAAAATCGTTTTAAAAATGATCTTATATATATTTTTAACTTAGCTTATAATAATTTATATTTCTAATTTTTTAAAATGATCAAATATATATTTTTCAGATATATAAAATTTATATTAAAAACTTTAAAATTTTGTTTAACCACTAAAAGGGAAACCTGTAAAATTTAAGTTTTTTGAAAAAAACTTTTTGTATTGGCGTCAAATATATGCGTATTAATCAGACCTGATTTAAAAAATAAAAATACTCAGCCGGAACTTTCCTTCGCCAGAAACAAAATGACGTTAAAAATTAAAAAGTTTTTTGTTAATATCTCATTTAATAATTTGTTTTGGAAAGTTTTATTACCTTTAAACTTATTTTCTAATATTTATCTATGATATGAACACAACTTGTCTGGGCACTTGGGGATCTCTTCGAAGAAAATTTAAAAAAAAAAAAAATGTTTGGGCTAAATTTTTTTTATTCAAATAAAAGAACAAACTTTCTTAATTTACTCGAAGCTTGCCTTTTTTGTTTTGTTGTAGGCCAAAAAGTCAGCATAATATATGCTACAATCTACAGACTTGATAATTTATTCAAGCACGTTTTATTCATAAAAGTTTTAGTACATGACATCATTGATTTTTTTATTTGTTTACATAATTGATCTTCTGTACAAGCAAAAAATTTTTATCATTCTCATTAATATGAACACAACATGTCTCGGAGTTTTGTTATCTCTTTAATTTTTTTCTTTCTTAGTTATATGATTTTAGATATTTATGATTTTTTTTAGTTTTATGATTTTCGTTCAAACAAGTCAGTTCAGTTTACCAATTTTGAAAGATTTATTATTAATATATTAATTTTTACAAACAAAATAAGTCAATTTTGCGAACATTGTTATATGTTTGTTTTTAGTGCTATAGTTGCAGTATCATATTTTTTATTTTTGTCATTATAGTTAGTTTTTTTTAGTTTTTTTTGTTTTTGGTATGATATATATTTGGTTTCCATTTATTTTAGAAAATACCATGAAACTGGAGAAAAGATAGAATATGAGGTGTTTTTTTGTTTTTTACATCTGTTGTTATTATTACTACAATATATATATATATATATATATATATATATATATATATATATATATATATATATATATATATATATATATATATATATATATATATATATATATATATATATATATATATATATATATAGGCTTTCACAGGAAGACATGCGATCGCATGTCTTTACATGGCCACGCAAATAATAATATGTTTTAATGATTTGCCTAAGGCTTTTGACATACTTTCAAAATTTAAAAATGCGCTACAAAAACTTACCTAAACTTATCTAAAAAAAAAAAAAGTTGTAAATAGAAAAAAAATCTTAACAAAAGAGAAAAAAAAAAAAAAATACTTATCAGTAAATTGTTACTTTATTTAAAAGCGTTTCACTAATGTAAAAACATTTGTTAAAGGGACTACCAAGTCCCAAGACATGTGTTCATATTAAAGAGAATGTTAAAAAAAAAATCTGAGCAAATTTTTTTTGATTACAACTAATTAATAAATGTATACCAAGAAAAACAAATCTTGTTGTTTTAGTCGAAGCTTGTCTTCTCCATTTTTTGCGGTATTTGGAGTCTGTGAAATAAACATGATTTTCCAGGCGCATTATACAGACTTGATAATTTATTCAAGTACGTTTAATTCATAGAAGTTTTAGTTCATGACGTCATAGATTTTTTTGTTTGTTTGTTTAAAACACCGATTATTATTATTTACATACAATTTCCAAATCATATTCATTTTTATTATATTTTAAAGTTCTAAAATGTGTTTGTAAAAAAATTAAAAAACAAAATAGTATTTTATTTGCGCAACTTTTTTTAAATAATCGTCTAGACCACATGTATTTTGATTTCTTTTGTTTAAGTTTTTCTTTCAAAATTTTAGATAGATAAATTTTAACCTAAATAATAATGCACTTTTATTAATTTACTTTGTAAATATTTTAAAAAATTATAAAGGCATTTTTTCTCTGATTTTCAAAAATGTATTTTTTGGTATTGAGGTAATCTTTTTTCATTATTTATATTTCCATTATTATAACATCCAATATATATTATGGCAGGGGCTTAAAAATTAAAAAATAAATATATATTAATTTTTATTTTATGGACATACATGGAAACATAATTAACTTGGATGTTCTTAAAACATCTTGCGGAAGAATAAAAGGAATATTCGCGAACACTGAAAACCCGCCAAATTTATGAACAAATTAATTCTATTGGTTCAAAAAATACGTTGACTAAGCGAAATAAAGTTCTAGAGTATTCTGTTGAAATGTTTTAGGAATTGTATTATTTACGATTTGTTGCGTTTTGAGATATATAGCATAAATTTTTTTAAGAATATTATCAAATGAACTATTACTTTAATATTATGGCTCATTTTCGGAGCCACATCTGCAAAGCCTTAATCTTTTAAACTATTATCATTTGTTTACATAAATAAATGTTTTATAATATATATTTTTTAAATTATCTAAATTTTGAAAGTTAATTACAAGTTATATATTTTATTAGTATATTCTTATTTTTTATATCTTTTCCTAGTGCTTGGTTTAATTAATTATTTGTTTAAAATAATTAATTAATTATTTGTTTAAAATTATTAATTGTTTGTTAGATTTTAATTAATTGTTTAATTAATTGTTCGTTAGTTTGTCAAAACAACTTGCATCAAAATGTAAACACTCGTGAATCATGGGAGATAATATATAACTCGATTTGGCGCCATAGGGGTCCCTAGGTCCACCATCGCCGTGGCCCATGTAGCCAAGGCTCTGATAGCTACAAAAAACATAAAGTTTTTTTCAATGTGAAGATTTTAAAAAATAAAATAACTATAGTTAGTTATTTTAGTAAAAATTAGTAGTAAAATTTTTAAAGAATTCCAATGATGTCATGTACTAAAACTTCTATGAATTAAACGCACTTGAATAAATTATCAAGTCTGTATAATGTGCCTGGAAAATTGCGTTTATTTTACAGACTCCAAATACTGCTGAAAATGGAGAAGACGAGTTTCGACTAAAACAACAAGATTTGTTTATCCTGGTATACATTTATTAATTAGTTTTAATCAAAAAAAATTTGCTCAAACGTTTTTTTTTAACATTCTCTTTAATATGAACACAACATGTCTCGGGACTTGGTAGTCCCTTTAAGAAGTTTTGATGTAATTAATTTCAATTTTTCAGTATATTTTTCATTTAGCATGTTTTAAAATGTTTTTTGAATTAGCTGCAGTCATATCGTCATAGCAAAATGTAATTTGCATGGTCATATAAGATGTGCAAAAGCACACCTTCCTTTGAAAGCCTGATATATGTATATATATTAAAGGTGTACACTCATGGTTGCCCGATGGCACCAAACGACCAAATTTTGTGAAGGGTGGCTAAAAATAATAATTTGCAATAAAATTGCCTAAAAGGCGACTATTGGTTTTTATTTGCAGTTCTAGTTTTTAATTTTTTAATTTTTTAATTCAAGAATTCTATGAAAAGAAGTCTAAATAAAATAATTACATTATTATCTAAATTTTGTATTATTATTTAAAACATAAGAAAAATGTCTGACTATTTAAACGTATTTTAAATATACTTTCTAAATAAAAACTAAAAAGTTTTATCGTTTAAACAAAAATACTGTTTTATTTTCATTTTTTTTACAAATTTTAAGGGTTTAGAGTAAAGTAATATAACAAAATTTGTCAATAAAAATACTTTGATAGGCCTTGTTGAGAGCATTTTATAAACTTTTTTGATTTGGAATATTCAAATTATCTTTTAATATTGTTTAAGTGACATTTATTTAGAAGGTATTAGATGGTAGAAAAAAACATTTAATTGCAACTGTAATTTTTTTAAAGAAAGAAATTATTTTATAGATATTTTTTAATTAAGACTTTAAATTAAATATGATTTTAAAAATTTAAATTTTTTTTTGAAGGAATGTAAAATAGTAAAATGTTGAATTTAAAAATTAATTTCAAAAGAACATTTATAGTTTTATTAAAGAAATTTTTCTTATCATCTGCTAATTCATTGCATAAAACAATTCTCTCCATCATAGAATATAATATGCGAAGGCAAATTTAAAATCTTTTTTTTTATTATAAAAAAGGAGAATTGTTTTTGTTTAGGATAATTCTTTTCAGAAATGTATTTAAAAATTTTTGTTTCTTATTAATTCAATATTATGTAAAGCTCTTTTGATGTTTATGAACATAAATTATATTTTCAAATTTGTTATTACAACATCTTTATTAAATATACATTAGTTACTAAATAAAAATTAATTATGTTAAATTACATTAAATGTTAAATACATACATTACATTAAATTACATTAAATCCTAAATACATACATTAAATATATACATAAATTACATTAAATTACATCAAATACTATATAAAAATTAAAATAAATGAGTTGTGATAAACAAACAAAAGATTATGTTAAGTATAAGATAAATGTTTAAAGAAATAATTTATAAGGAAATTTTTTTTCAAATGCCAAACTGAATATTAATTATAGAATCAAAGAGATTCTATCAATCAATCCTATCATATTTATATTCAATCAATATTATCATATTCTATCAACAGATTCTATCAATAACTTTTATATTAGTTTAAGTAATTTTTAAAGTGGTTTAAAATTAAATTTAATTACAATGTGGTACTTTGAAATACATTCAAATTATCAATAGTTTTTAGGCTCCTGAAATCAATAAGATTTTAATAACTACAATGCATTAAAAGTATTTGTAAATTGTTTGATTTTTTTGAAATTTTTTAAAAAATAGAGACAGGCAATTCAAACTGTCAGCGAGCAACCAAAATTAACGAACTGGTTACTCCTCCTTAAGAGTCCTTAATTAACCTTAAAAAAAGGTAAAATTTGACTGCTCTCCATAATTGTGAAAAAAAACTCTAAAAAGTGAAGGATTATACTTACTAATAAGACGAAAATATATAGTTCTTTGATAGTTTGCAAACCTGTTTAGATTATATATATATTTATATATATGTAAAGTAATATATTAATTTATAATAATTTTTCTGTTATTATTTTAAATTTATTGAAAAAAATAAGATTCTGTTGCTAATGTAACTGTTTTCACCTTAATTCTTCTTACTTTTTCTTTCAAAAAAATGTTGTACGTAATAAAATCTCCTTAAATACTAGGAAAATATCTCCTTAAATCGTCTTAAAATCCTTACTTTTAGCCCCAGTTTTAATAGTGGGAACCCTGCATTCAGTTGCTCTTCTGGCTGACCGACCAAAAGTTTGAGTGTGTGTATATATTAGCCAATCCCATAATTTTTTTTAGACAACCAATTTTTATGTGGAGTGGCTAATGAGTGGCATCGAGGTCATATTTATATATAAATATATATATATTTTTTTGATAGAAGTATTCGCACCATTTGTTCGAAGTTACACGTTTTATGATTTTTGACTAAATTTATGGTTATTTTTAAGCATTAGTGCAAATAGATTCTAATGTTGAATCCAGTTAATTTGTTCAACGATGTTTTCTTTATGTGTTCCTGTACCAAAAAAAAGTACTGTGGTTATTAATTTAAGAAATATGTTGTGCCTATCTTACACTGATTACTATAGATAAATTAACGCTTTGGCTACTGTAAAGTGATTTTTGTTGATCTTTAGGCTTTTTTTCCGTCATACAACAAACTTTATGTTTTTTACCTCATTTTTTTATTAAATGATGTTTTTTTTCGAAATACTGTTACTGGAACCTTAGATCAAACAAATCCAAATCCAAAATAGTTTCCTTGAAAGATTGGACTTTCGATCTTTTGTTGTAAACTAAACTAGATCAATACGTATCAATGTGATTCAAAAATATATACACATTTTTTTAGATTATTATTTTTGATAGCATATACAGCAGCATTTATGACAAGCATCAAAGTGTGTTATTACAAAATTAGGCTTTATATGTCAAACTTGAT